TTGGCAACCTTATCCTCCTTGTACGTTTGTCTGAGGGAGATCTTCGTAAAGGACACCAACGTCCCGGTACACAAGGTACTTTTTCAACTCAGCATGGCAATGATGAATGGTGTGGTGGGGGTTGGTACAGGGTTTTTAATACTGAAGGATGGGGGTAAAGGTGTAGGAGCATGGGATGATCTCTGCATTGTGGAAAAAACGGTTTGTGAAGGTAATTATATATAGGTAGATATATAGAAATATTTAAACTGTTTAAATCAAGGTTAACCAATTAAATTTGTCTCACCTGGTATTGATTACCTGCCAACATACACTCAAAATAATCTGGTGTCAATCCAGCCCGGTGAAGTCACATATTTATAGTACAGCGCGGTGTTAATTGCCCGCATTAACACCGCGTGGTGTCTATATGTACACCGCACTGGATTGACACCAGGTTATTTTGAGTGTAGATGATTTTGCCTATTTCTGTTTTCATTTGAAATTTCTAATTTTCTTATCTCAAACTTATAAATTTCGAACAATTTCATGGACTCAGATTTTTGGATATGTAAATATTTTCAAATTACAATTTTTGCAGGTTCTAATGCCCATGTGGGGAGAAACCGATGGTTGGAACACATCTATTCTCTGCATTCGGGTTCCGATCTAGCCCAACTTTGTTCATTGTATTGTTTGGCTGGCCAACACATTGGTTCAAGTTTGATCCATTCTTCTACCTACTCCAGGCAGTCCTACCGTCTGAAATTTTTCTGAATAATCCATTCAAAATTTTCGTCTTGCGGTGGTTCCTTTCTGTTATTATTATCTTCGAATTATTATCTTCGAGTCTGCCAGTGTGATAGAAAAATTAAATCTGGGCCTGGAAAAAATGGATAATGTTAGGTTTGGCAAATTCTGTAGTCAGAGGAAGTTGCTCAGGGTGAAGCTCAAGGCATTGCGACCGCTAACATTATACGCAGGTGTGTTTGACCACAGATTCATCAAGATAGGGGGAGACGTAAAACTAGTGTTTATGGAGAACATGGTGGACTTTACTATCACAGCACTTTTGGCATAAAGACATATGTGGATCTAATTGATAGCATTTATCTGATCAAATGTGATCCGTCATGCTAACAGCCTACGTTATTATACCGTGGGATATGTCTTATGCAACCTTTTCTACTATTTGCCTAAAGGGTCCCAAATATACATATATTCTAGTGTCACTTATTAATACCCATAATTCAGAAAAAAATGAGGTCAACATCTTATGCAGATCGTTTACTTAGGTAATTTTTTTAAAATTTCTGTGTATGTATGTATATTTCAACCAAGTACGTTAAAGTATAATTTAATTAAATTAAACTGGATAGAAAATATATGGATTCTGAAAAACTTTCGGGTAGGAAATTAACCTGTAAAACCTCGATTCACACTCCACCATAAATTAAAATACACGGTAATAATATGAACTAAAAGAGGCAAATTGACATTATTTCTGAAACATTTTCTAAACAATTCTAGGGGTTTCTAAGAAATTGATTGATGATTTTATTCAATTGCCTAACAAGTTCACAATAACAACAAAATATGATCTGCAAACTAGTAATGACACTATATAATAAACACTATATAATAGACACCGATATACAACTATATAGCTAACTAAATATAAAAACTATAGCCAAATATATTCCCATCATTCTATTCTAAATTATTTAAACAAGTGGGTTTGGGCGGTACTAAATATTAGAGGACATTTTGACTTGATTTTATTGATTATTGCGAGCTTTCGATCGCTAAACACCAGATTATCATCAGGCACAAATTAGTCTGAAAAAAAGAAAAAAGAGATACTACAACGTTGTTTGAATTTTTGGAAATTTCAATGACATAATGTTCATGGATGCATTAAAAAATTAATTAGTGTTGTGGACCAGATAGAGTTTACAGGCATTCCTTTTGATATGTTCATCCTTTTTTTCTTTTCTTATGCTTCTGATGAATAATCCTTTTTTGAATTTTCTGTAAAATTTCCTGGGTTCCTTAAGTATGTGTTTGTGGGAATTGGGGTCTACATAATTGATGATCATGTGTTTCGCAACGCAACATTTCGCAACCAAATTGTTGTCGTGTCATTTCTAATGTTTCTCCTATCTCTAAATTATTTTAGCATTCTTCACATAAAATTGCGGCCGGATAATTAAGCGTTTATATTTCACTCAATAGATTAATTGAACTTGATATCTGAATCAAATAGACTAAGCGATATAGGTATAGTCTGTCCACGGCAAGTTGAACCCGGAGATATGGAAGACTAAATCCCGGCCCATGCTTATTAACGTTGAACTCGAGTTTAGTCTCCCATATCTCCGGGTTCAGCTTGCCGTGGACAGATAGTAGATATCAGAATCAGATTAAGATGTAAACAACATTTTTCATGTTTTCATTCCTTGTAAAATTATGTGTCACCTAAGCGAACTATTTATATGGACCAAGAGATAAGGGAATTTTAACGTTATGCTTGTGCTTACAGTTTTTTTAATAAGGGAGAGCCATATGTTCCATATGTTTGCTTTACACGGAAAAATTTAAAACTCGTACTGTTTCTATGCTAGCAAAATTTGGAAGGAACGAAGCTATTAGATTGCATTTTGCTAATCAATTCATAATTTACAGCTTATTACAAATTAATTTAATAATCGCTACAAATTATATAAAATTGAACATAAATAATGATAAATAAACCATTATAAATTTGGTATGACTACGCAAGAACTGTTTTTGGGCTTTAAAGGGGCCACCAAAACGGGGCCTTCAAAACAATTTATAATAATTTGACTTTCTATTCCCAATTCTCCCTCAACTCATTTGCTAAAAATGAACAGATCCATTTTGCTCTTAAAATCGGCTCGAATAACTTTCCAATTTTACAAAAATGGCTGAATCTCACTTGAGAGTTTTATCCCTTTACTCAAAACTATTTCAGAGTGAGTACCCATATCGATACAGACTCCATTTTCAGTGGGACCCCAAACACAAGAGGTGGTTCAGTTTGGCACGAAAATATGAAAAGGGTTGGGCACGATTCATTATATTTTTAGGTTTCATACAAGTAGTCTCCGAAGCCCGCATTGCGGGCTTATAGCATCATATACAAATTGGCCAATCCAGAGTTAAGGATTGAGATTAGGATTGGGGATTAATTAGTCCTTAATCTCAATCTCGAATCCCAAGTTTTAGAATTTTAATGCTTAACCTTTAGTCCGACATCGAGTTTTAAATGTTTACATTTATTGAAAAGTTGAAAATCTAAGTTCTGTTGAGATCCCTCCCCGTTCGAAGTTGATTGCATTTTGTTCATTTTTCGTTTATTCTTTAGCAGAAATTTAAAAAACTGGGAACAATTTTGCAAAGCTACTCGGAACATGATAGCCATGTAGGCGAAATAAGCATTGGTGTGACCTTAAAACAAATGTGAGCTGTCGAGAGTAAACTGACGACTATAGTGGGGTTCCCAGGCCCGAGTCAACTGCCCATTATTAAGGGTGTTGACGGATCCCGCTTAACTTCTGACAATAGATTGAATTTCTAGGTCGCGGATCAACTGCTCAGTATAAGTGTTCTGAGGTCATGGATGAACTGCCGACTTTAGGGTGTGCCCAGACCCCGCCCAACTGCCGACGACTATAGGGGGAGCTCCTAAATCTCTGGTCAACTGCCGACTATAGGTGTACCAGGTCACGGGTCAAAAATCGATTATAGGGGGCATGCCCATGTGACAGATTGAGTCTCGAATCTAATCGATGTGCAAAGGGTCAAGCCGTGTTCAATTTGGGATGTGTTGAGTTATTCCGGTGGTAAAGTTTTCTCAACGGTTTGACACTTAGCATAGAACGCCCTCTACCGGCGAAGAATACAACATAGTTCATGAAAACGCCGATAGGTGGCGCTGTTCGTTTGCCAATTCTTAGTATTGATGACCTTTGACCTCCTTTTATGACATTTGAGAATTACTTTGCAGGAGAAAATAATTTTTTGTGATGTCAGGCTAGAGGAAACGATTTTGGTATGAATTTAAAATCAGCGCGATAAATCATGTCACGTGATAAATGACATCCAATAGAGGGCGCATAATGCGTGAATATGAAAAATCAATAATCTCATAATGCCCCAATCATTGAAAATCAAGGTGGGGCGCTTATGTTTTTTATTAAATTTACAATAACATTGAGTTGTGTCTCATTTTGCCCCATGTTCAATGAAGTTCAGCGCACACGCTCAAATTGGACAAACACAGTGAGTCACGGCTATTCTTAGTATTGATTCATGTACTCGTCCATTTTATTGATTTTTCAAGGATTTGAGCCAGAAAATGTTCAGTATAAAACCAGCCAGAATAATTTAATTTATTCATACAATAAGGCACCCTACTATGTAGGACATCGTTCAAAATCCCGTTCAGTGCAAAATCTAGAAATATAGAACATTTAGTAGTCCTTGTCCTAGTTCTTTGCGAAGGTATCATCGTGGTTGGCCCGCATACCACCATTTTCAGTAAAAGTATTGAAAACGACGTAATCTTTGGACTCAACTCGTTCTTACAGTATCACTCCAACCTTCGACAAGGTATACTCGTAGAAATAATTTTACCGTTTTGAAAAGTAAATGCATATGTATGTACAATCTGAAGTTTATACTATGTAACAATACGATGACGCCAGCGGTCTCGCTCCGATTTTGATGAAACCACGATAATTATGTAACCTTAGATAAATAAATCATCGTAAACCCCTGGCGCCGGTGGTCCAGTTAACCCCAAAAGTTGTTATCCTCGCCCCCTGGGGTCATATGTATAATGTCAAAAACAGATTTTCCCCAACCAAAATAATAATTTGTCGAATAATGAAATGTGAAACAAATTATTTGTCAAATTTTGAACTAAATGCATTCGAGCAAAAGTTCCCTTAAAAAAACCGAACACAAGTAAAAACAGAGAAACATACATATACAAATACTTTCAGAAACGTTACCCTTAAAAATGTAAGGAAACCTTAATTTATTCATTTCATTTTCAACCTCAAATTTGACAATGAATCCCAATCCACTCTATTACACCGGAGGAGCCTTGCACACCTTCTTATGCCCTGCATGCCACGCCTTCCGCTGACACTCTTTCGAATGATACACGACCTTCTTGCATTTCCCACAGCGCGGAAAGGTCACCACTCTCGTCTCAACTTCGAGACAGTCGATCCCCCCGCAAATTTCCATCTCGACCGGTCCCCCCGGCCCCGGTTTCATGCCGGACAGCATGGCTTTCAGCATCAGTGGATTCATCCTCATCGACGCGATGCCACCCGGAGGAAGTGGCGTCTTCCACTGGAAAATGATCCTCTTCGCTTGTGGCGCCATGAAGAGACCGCCGAACCCCGAGTCGTTCTCGTTCTTGACCGCGATGTCCTTCAAAGTCAGCAAAAACGGGGTCTCCATCCGTTTAACGTCTTCCAACAGGGTGTACATGGACAAGTAGTCGATGATGTGTTGAAACGTGGTCCAGTGATGGGGCCACAGACGCCATCCCACCGTGACCGCTTTGCAGTACGTCTTGAGCTCGTCGATGCCTCCAACGGTTTCCATGCGGAGGTATTTTGGACGGTAGTACAACGGGTAGATAAGGCATCCATACGAATCGCGATGATCCAGGGCCGTTTCCGTCTTGTCGGGATCGAAAGTTTCCATGTTTTCGAAGGAGCCGATTTTTTTGTCGAATTCCAAGAGGGGCGTCATGTATGTGGAGGTTCGAAGGGATTCTTCTTGCCCCGAATCTGACGACCGGTTGTCCGCGGAGGACTGAAAAAATTGAAAATTATTAAGCTTAACGCGCACTACATTTAATTAATTAATTAATTAATTACACAATTTTGCAATTGGAAAGTACAAAAGAAGTAATTCAAAACTGGAAAAGTTTAGAATTCGTGAATCGTTCGAAGCAAAATTTAAATTCATTTTACAATTGTTTTGAAATTATTAGTAAACAAATTAAGCTTATCTTACGCTTGGATTTTCCACCCCTGCGATTTCGCCATCGATTCCGACGATTTCGACCTACCCGTCACAAAATAATTAAATATAAGTATTCAAACATAGTTAAAAAATGTTTACGTTTGTAAATAATTAAAATAAATATTTACCTCCTCTTTATTCTCCATGACGTTTAAGTAATGCGCAGAGAAGTAATGCGTTCCTCAGTGGGCGATACGGCTAAAAATTGAATTTAATTGCAGTCCAAGCAAAGATAGGGAAAGTTAATTAAAAAATTAATTACCTGCTGAAGACGATGAGATGATGTGTTGAGTAAAGAATTTGAGCTTTTTTCAACTCCCCGCACACATTTGTGCCACAGTGCCCTGGATATATTTCTGAAAAATTTATAGCATGCGGGGTTTGAGTTTTAATTTTTCTGTCTCAACTTTCCCTTCTTCCAAATGGCGATTTTGAAACGGTTCGTATATTCAGCCATGAGAAAATGTAAAATTTGAAAGAGTTTCGAGCAAATTTTAAAAGCAGCATGGATCTGGACAAGGTTAGAGTTAAGAGAGAAATGGCACATGCAAATTAATACAAATATGCGGGGCAGTTACATACATATGTACAGAAACTTAAATATTTAATTGGTCAGCTTGGAGGATCCGTGAAAATTGAGGGGATTGTGAGACTTAAAATTGGAATGGCATATATAATTTATATTTAACATTGATGACAATTATACACTTTTTCCCATGTTTATAAGTATAAATCATTGTGAGTTTGAGAATTTAGCGATTGTGTTGCAAGTATTCGTGTTCGGTTAGATAATGTTTTTAAATAATGTCCGGCCGCACGGCTTAATGTTGCAAAGTGTGTTAAATTATTTCGCAAATTGCAGAAACTCGGCGCCATGAAAATTTATTAAAGTTTGCGAGATAACGTCAACCAGTACATACTTAAATGTTATCTGCGTTGTTTTGTAATATTTGGGTCTTCAATTCAATTGCCAGCATTCGAGAAAATTAATGACATGTTTGTGAGATAAGTATGTATTTACATATTTGATTACATATGTACATTAAGTCAATAAATATTTCGACATTCCATTATTTTTAAATATCTACCCATCAAAAAAGCCATTTACCTGTTTCCTCAACTTATCTAAATTACCGTTTATGCATTTATATGTACATACATAATTACTGAAGTTTATAACTGCAATCGGTAAAGAAATTGGCAAACTAAACGTACAGTGGCCTCATAAAGGAGGGGGACATGGAAAATTTGCATGGCTATGAATCATATACATACACTCTTAGCAACTTGGTAAAGAATTCTTAATAAGCGTCTTTACCGAGCTCTTGGTAATTACGCGTCCTACAAAAATTATACGGGGTTATTACCGTAACAATACCAAACAGGTAACTGGCCTTCCACCGCAATGTTCTAAGTTATCTTTATAATTTTGGTAATAAACTCCTACGAGCCGGTAATTATATCCTACAAATTTAGATAACACTCTTTACCATAATTTTCATTAAGTGTAGTACAAATGTTTCCCGTTGTGGTGCTGATGAGATCTACATTTTGGTGTAGTTTATTACCCTGGAGGTAAGAATTTTAATACATTTGGTGTTAATTGTGAGACGCTAAACATTGAGACAGTGGCGCATTTGTCAGTTTTAGTTTTCGCTTAGCTCAACTCAAGTCAACATGACGAAATTAATCCAGTGCTGCCCGTGGAAAAAAAACGATAAAAACTTCTGGAAATTCTGGAAATATAGAATTTTTGGTAACAGGTAAGTATCAAATTATCATATGTAGGCGCCTTATCAAGATGGTGATCGGGAACCATCAATATAGGAAAGAGCTAATAATAATCTTATGCGTTTATTTTTTCAGTGAAACAAAACTTTAAGTTGGAAATCGGAGCAGACTTAAATTTCATGTAAATATGTATGTATACATGTGTATGTAACTCAATAGTTTGCCTTATACTTAATTTTTTTAATTATGTTAGAATGTTTCAAAACTATTGTACAATAAATATAATTGATTGAAAGATTATTGTAAAGAAAAGCAAAAAAAATCTATTCTTTTCGGTGGAAATCTGCACAACATTTGGTAATAATGGGGTATACTAAAACAAAGCATTAATACCGGTATGAATAGCACACCGTGTACAAAGTGGCATGGTTTATTACCAGGCGGTAGACATTTTCCTACATATTGTCGTGCATCTGTCATACATCATGGTATTAATTTTGTTCAAGTGTTCTTTATTACCACTTGGGGTTCAGTCAATTTCTTTACCAGCTGGTGGTTATTATTACCGTTTCTGCAGAGTCATATACGTGTGCATTTTGGTAATGATTTGGTAATGATTTTATTTAGAGTGTATGCTCATGATCAGACGTCGGATATTTATTTATTTATGACTTTTTCAATTAGCGCCCGATGTTTTTCAAACTTAGCAGGGACCTTTATGGTCATGAGTAGTTCACGCTGTCGAAAAAATGTTTTCAATATTTTTCAATATTTCGGGGTTTTAGAAAATATAAATATTTACGTAAATTTTTCGACCTTTTTTTAAAAAAAAATATTTTTTTAATCGGAAAATCATGGTTATTTTAAACTTTTGGGCAATTTTACACAAAAAATTTCATTTTTGGAGTTTATAAATTTTTTAGTAACTTTTAATTCAGACTTCAAGACTTCCGACTTTTAATTCATGCTCGTCGAAAACTACTTGGAGGAAAAGCTTCACTACACTCTTAGAAAAAAATTTTTGAGAAGTAAGTGCACTTTTTACTCCATATGAAGTAAGATTTACTCTGTATCAAGTAAGCGTTACTCTGGATTTAGTAAACTTTGCTTCATATGGAGTAAAAAGTGCACTTACTTTTCAAAAAAGTAAAATTTTTTCTAAGAGTGTACTTGTCAAGAACAAAATTCGATGCCCTTTTGAGTTTTCGTACACTCGTAGAATACTGCAACATTCCAAAGGGTATTAAAATCGGTTGTTGCCAAGAAGTGAACCTTCCTCCTGATAACCAGAGGGTTATCTACAACGATTTTTAAATTGGTTAGAAAAAGCTGAAATTTGGTATCAATGTCCAAGGTGTGTCAAATTTTCAAGACGCTAAACAAGAATTTGATGCAAATAAAGGGTGTTAATAAAGTCCGATCCCATGCATTTTTTGGAGCGTGGTTGTTACAAATTCAGCTGGAACTTTTGAACCAGTGAAGTTATTTATTTCAAATTTTTACCATGGGAGGAACAACTAAACGTGTAAGTCATGAGCATCTTAGAGTTGAGATACAAACATTGCATCAGCAGGGGCTTAAACCTACAGAAATTGTGCAAAAATTGGGCTGCAGCCGCAGAACTGTTTGGAAATGGAAGAATACAAATTTTGTCCACGACAAAAAGCGACCAGGGCGACCCAGAAAGGTGTCACCTACCACAAAAAGAATGATTAAAAACAGACTTTGCAAGAAAACCGGTAGTTCATTACGTAATTGAGCAAGGGAGTTAAATGACTCAAAACGCTATAAAGAGAAGAAGAAGCAAATTAACTGTGTGACCGTGCAAAAATTTGTGAAAACTACGAAGTGGGGTCACACAGCTTACAAACTAACCAAAAAAACCTCTCATGTCACAAAAATATATCGATGACCGTCTGAAATTTGAAGAACTCCTTCAGAAAAGTGCCCATTTGAGTGAAAAAAGACTTGGTGAAGAATTGCGCAGTCACATCCTTTGGACTGACGAATCTATTATTGAACTATATCCAAAATTGAACCAACAAAATGTTCGTTACAGGACAGAAAACAAATCGGATGTACCATCAAGAGCGATCCCAAAATTCGGGCTTAAATTTATGGTAGCGGGTGGATTTTGTGCACGTTGCGTGACCCCTCTACATATCATACCAAAAGGCCAATCAGTCAATGCAAAGCATTATATGGAAAAAATATTACCTATCTATTTCGATAGCATGGGGAACAAGGAAATATTTCCGAATGAAAGAAAAATAGTTTTCATGCAGGATGGTGCTATAGCCCATACAGCAAAAGCGAGTTTGAGTCTCATCAAGACGCAAGTTTCAACGGTCTGGAGCAAGGGGGTGTGGGCCGCTAACGGCCCAGATTTGAATCCCCTGAAGAACCAGTGGTCCATACTTAAGGAAAATGTATACAAAGAGCCACAACCCCGGACGAGGGAAGAGCTAGTAAAAAAAAGTTCAAGATGTATGGAATTCGATTTCCAGAGGCACATTGGAAAAATTAGCACAGAGCCTTAAACAAAGAGTTGAGGGCATGGTTAAAGTAAATGGTAACAAGACCAAATACTAAGGTAAATATGTCGAACATTTTTTGTAAGTATCACGGGTAGTTTTTTTTTATACTAGCCTTCACTTTTTTACAGGAAAAATGGGATCGGACTTTATTAACACCCTGTACATCCACATGTACATACATCTGTATGGGTACATATACCATTCCATGTCTATTGACTATTTCGCAGATTTAGCGTGTTAAAGCTTTAATATCACCCATTTATAATGCCAAAATGTTTGAAATGCAATTTGAGCTATAACAATTTGAATATTGAGCCCAAAATCTGAATTTATAAAAAAATATTTTCGGGTTTTGAATGAAAATATAAAATACATTTTTTCGAGGTTGATAGTAAATAAATACCCGACGTCTGCTCATGATACATAAATCCTGAAGAATTTTAGGTTTCACAATGTCCTCAATCTTACCGCGGTCACTCACCCTCTAACCCGCTAATTACATATACGTTTATCTTATCCATATCTCGTCTCGCTATGTTGAACAAATTGGCATAAATTTGCATTTGCCTCCTTTCGGCAATTTGTATGTACCTTCAATACAATTTACTTTTCATGTGCCTCTTTCCCTTTCAACTCTTTTACATAAACGTGAACGGGTCAATTTTGCTTTTAAAATTTGACTAAAAACCTATCCAATTTTAAAAACATGGCTGAATCACATTTCAGAATGTTATCCCTTTACTCAAAACTATTTCAAAGCGAGTACCCATACAGATACAGGCTCCATTTTCAGTGGGATACCAAAAACAAGAATTGGTTCACTTTAAAGCGAAAATATGAAGAGATTTTTACAGTATTCGTAATATTTTTAGGTATTTTAACCATATTCATGTGCTCGTTGTCAATTTCATTGATTTTACAAGGATTTCAGCCAGGAAATATTGAGTATAGAACCAGCCAGAATAGGACATCGTTGAAAATCCTCGTCAGTGCAAAATCTAGAAATATCGAACATTTAGTGATACTTGTTCTCGTTCTTTGCGAAGGTATCATCGTGGTCGGTGCGCATACCACCATTTTCAGCAAAAGTATAGAAAATGACGTAATCTTCGGACTCAACGCATTCTTACAGCATCACTGGAATCTTCGACGGGGTATGCTTTTAGAAATATTTTTACATTTTTTTCATCTTAATTTGACAAACTTTATTTGATAAAAAATGATAAAATGTCTTTGATAAAATTTCACTATATTTTTCGGAGTGCTCTATGCCAGAAAATGTCACAAATTATTCACAAATCTTGGAATGTTCCTATACCGATCAATATTAAAAGTGGATTTTCCAGGTTTTTCTCTTACGAATGAGACGAAATTTGAAGCCTATACTTTCGCCTATTATAGGAAACTATAATAGGCGTATAATTAATTGGTTGGTTGTAATTAGGAAACAGCCATCGTACTCAAGAGAAAGTCTATTGAATAGCATTAGGTACACAAGTGGTTAACCTTGTCTCCCAATCGGTAAAAACCCTATAAAATAGTCAATAAAATTCCTTAAATTCCAGATCATCCCCCAAAACCTTGCTGCCTCACAGCAAGCGGAGAAATCACCTACTTCGAGAAAATCTTCACCCATTGGCTTCATTCCGCCGTCTGGGCGCCGATAATCGGATGCATCGTGGTCGTTTTAATGAACGGCGACCCTATCTTATATCCGATTAATTATATTTTCTCGAAATTTCCTAAAACCCTGGAAATTTCTCTACTATTTTGTCTAAACAGCGGGATTCTCCTCACATTCGTAATATTCCTCATTCGTCTCTTCATTTCGACTTTATTCCTGATAGAATTCTCGCACGATCTGGCTCGTAATTTTAATCAGTGTCACGTACGTGGACGGGATAACGGACTACTTGACCTCGTTACGTTCCTTATCAACCCGATTCTTACTTCGGGGAGGTTTTGCGCAACAATTATCCAACTATAGCATCTTGCTAATCATAAACGGCATCCTGTACGAATTTATGGGAGTTTTCGTTACCTTCGGATTATGTGCGACTTCATCAGCTTACACGATTAGTTTGGCGATAGTGATCCATTTGGGGGGCAAGCTCCCCCAGACGCTGTCCTTCATCGTAGCGGACGTCTGTCTCTTTGGATTCTTCGTTCTGGTCGTTTTCTTAACCTTCGCGTCGAAATGTGACAAAGTTTCGGGTGTCATTTTGCACCGATTTGTCGCCTCGGTGGGCGAATTGGAGAGGACAAAGGTGAGAAGGAGCGTTAAAACGAGGCAGATTCGGGCTTTGAGACGGATCACGATTTCGATGGGGGTGAACGGTTACACAGCTTTTGCCATAACTGCGGAAAATTTGTTAATCACTATGAAACTTTTGATCGACATATCGATCAATTTTGTGGTTTTCTTCAAGTAGAAGTGCGTTTTATGTATGTATGAATATTACATAAAATGTATTTGTAACTGGTTGTATAATTTTCCGTAGATAAGTATAATTAATTCGTGTCAATTTGTGGATAAGCATAAGTTTATAAATTTCACATGTTTGTCATGCCATATTTATTTGGCTGTTTCGTAATCGCCGTAATTTTACAGCATAAGTTTCAGGAATCGAAATTGTTTCCAATCCCTGCAAAATTACAAAATTAATAATTTACTCAAATTTTTCGACTACTCATATTCGATGGGGCTGTACGATATTACTTACATTGTATCTTATTACTTACGCGATAGCCTCGTGCATGTTTTTCGTATCCCACTTTTATTGTGACGAATAAAAATGGCTAGACTTTTTGCATGATTGTGCAATGTCATACATCCAATAGAAAATATTCGCACTGCGACTTATGTAGGTTTTATAAAAAAATATGAACGTACATATATTATTTTTCATCTACATATGTAATTTATGTATGCCTTCACTATTAGAAAACTGGTACATATTAAATCATACTGACCGGAGTACATACATACATATACATATATGTAAATTACTCTAACTGACGGGTAATGACGACCATTACCGTTTAGTGATGTAGTGTAATGAAAGATTTACCACGGAGATACAAACTACACATGTACTATAAATCCGATATGATCTTATTTCCCAGCCCATTCCAGTACGGATTATACATGTCTATGTGTGACTCTTGTACCAGAGCTTTTGCAGCCTATATACATATACAGATATGTAATCATTACATTTACTGCAATTTAATTACATTGTTGCAAATTTGAAGTAATTGTGTGCAAAAATGAATAAATCCATTACATTAAAGTCCATGAAAATCTAATGGTGAGAAAACGAGTGCAAGTATTCTCAGGAAAGCTATGCACATATGTACATGTGCACATACCGCACCATCGTGATAATTATATTTATTACATTTAACATGTTCCTAAATATGTATAAGATCGGCATTTCCGTCTGTCTATTTCTCCATTGGTGTGACAACTATTGAATGACAATAACACAAAGCACGATGAGATTTTCAACAGGACCGAGTTTGAAGACGAGCACTGAAAGTCACAGGTCCTCATTTTTTCTTAGGTGAAGGAAAAGTAACCATAAAGTGATCATGTTAAAAGATCACCATGGTTACGGCGAAGCCTAAGTATGCATTCAGCTGCAACTTTGAAAAGGTCCCACTCAGATTTAGCACGAACCGTTCGTTGCATGGAAAACATGTTGAACAAAAAAAAACAGATAATTCTGTTTTACAGATACGTTTTTTCGATTTTTTCAAAAATTCTACTTCCTTCTGGTACAAAGTCCGATGCCTAAAATTTCAAATCCATTTCTTGGCATCAAGGTAGCGTTTCCGACCGGGGGCTTGCCATTTTTACTATTCTCCTGGATAATGCGCACATTTTCAGCCTTTGTTCGACTTAATCGGATGAAAACTCAAGGAATTAGAGCTTTTTGAAATATTTCCATTAAGCAACTTATTTACGTATGTATATACGTGTTGGGTTACTGGTTGCTAACGTATGCTAATAGTTTATTTACCATCGCTATTCAATACTCAACATAACCAATGTTGCTAGACAATCGAATTACGCTATTATTAGATCGCTAAGTGTCAAGGAATGTTGCAACAGAATAAACCTTAAAATTCTGAAACTGGGGGAATTAAATTTGTATGACATGCATCCACCCAAAGGAGAATTAACAACGTTTAAGATTTGTTAATTATGATTATATGCATTGAAGTTCACAAATCACTAAAAATAATTAAATAAATAAATTTTAAAAAACAAACTTAGGTGAAGGACGCGCTTAAAATATTAAAACAAGTTGCGTTAAAAAATGTCATAATATCGTTTAATATTTATTGATTTTTTCTTCACCGTGGGCCCAACTAACACAGTAGAGTAATATACTTTCAAGCATTTGGAACAATTGTACGAAATACGTAATTTTTGTATTTAATAAATTTTGAATTTGATTCAAAGTTATCAAAGAGATTTGAATGGTTATCTTTCAATAAATCGCGACACCTCTTATAGAGGAAGTTTTCTCATGTTCCGGCGTATTTTTAATAACTTCTGTAATGCTGCCCTTCATATTTAATCAAGTCGTTGGTTTAGCTACATTTATTATTGATTATCATTAATTTGAAAATTTAATACTTGGGCCCACGGCGAAGTAAAAATTAATAAATATCAAACGATATTATGACATTTTTTAACGCAACTTGTTTTAATATTTTAAGCGCGTCCTTCACCTAAGTTTGTTTTTTTTAAATTTATTTTTAAAATTATGTAGAACGAAATTATATAAATATGTAAGGCTTTAAATGATTTGAGTTATGTAAATCACATGACGTTCATTTTGATGTATGACACACTACACTGGTTTCACCTCTTAGTTCCATTCGTTGCAACGGTTTATTGTATCCTATCCTTCATAATTTGCTCGTCCTTACACATGCTTGGCAAGAGTTTTAAGGACGGCTTACAAGTAATTTATGCAAGGATATTTCATACTTTATTCCAGGTGAATAGTGCATCGTGCAAAGTTTGGAACTCTCCTTACTTACAGAATAATTCTTTTTTTCTAACAACTTAACAATTTCTTCGGAAATGTTTCACAAGTTAGATTTGTCTCTTTTACTACTTATCTTTGTGATGCATTTAACATTGATCGGTTCTCTTTCCGTGGATGATTTTTTAACTTTGACATCCTCCCAGAAAGCTAAATTGGACGAGGTAAGGATTCATTAACATAGACAAAAAAAATTAAGCAACACGACAATTTACGCAGTTTTTTGTAACTTTATAAAATCCGTAAAGCTACAAACCTTACATATTTTTGAAGGAAAAGCTGAAGTTTACCCAGATCAGGGGCGTCTCTTTATTTCATCAAAGCTTACTTTACAAAAGTTTTACAAAGTTACCAAAAACTACGTTAATTCTCCTGGTACCTTTATCGGCATGGCTGGACTACATTTCCAAGTTTTTTTGTCATGTGATTTATTTAAACCAGTTTAACCAAGCTAGTTTTTTACCTTGTAGAAATAAATATTTTTCTGCTAATGAGACTTGGGAACTGTTACCATAATCGTTACTACATAATCCACGTTTTTATGGAGACTAGTACACTCTCAATAATTTTTTGGCAATGTTGTTACCGGCGGATATACTATGCAATTCTACCGCGTGGTAACACTATAGTAACATATTGTCTTCTGTGGGTAAGAAATTGTCTCCGGTATCGGTAATATTTTTATTACCTTAGCGTTGACATTGGGGGCGGAGCAGGATTTAGCCTCTGTATATATGTTACCCTTCGGTGATAAATTATTACCAGAGCGGTAGAGTTGCATAGTACCTCCGCCGGTAACAATATCATCAAAAAATTATTGAGAGTGTAAAACATTAATACGAGGGGAAAAATTGTGCACATTTTGTAAACATTTTCAATTTTGTTTACAAATTTGCACAACGTACAGTCAATGGAACAAGTATTGGCAACACCCACACAAGCTAAATAAAATTGGCTATAACTTTGGCATGCATTATCAAATTAGCATGAAAATTTGTACGCATTTAGCAAATCCAATGTAGTGTTCGATTATAATCATGTTTCTGATTTAAATCTAGTAAACATAACACAATTCTGATTTTGACCTCAACGAATCAGATGCAAACCTGCAAAAAGTATTGGCAACATGTGGCCAAATTAATTACTCAAAACAATTTTCTTAACCATCTTCCACATTTCGTCACGGTAAGTTAATTAGGTGACAAAATATGAGGTTAGCTACATTTTAAGTCTACAGTTGTGTTGTCTGGAGCCAAAATGGCGACACCATATGAGCTGTATTTGGCGCGGCGAGAAATAATCATGTCTCTTTCACAAAAAAGCTTTACTATCGAAAAATCAAAGAGAAAACATACTTTTCCATATTTACTATTGAATACGTAGCAAAGAAATATAAAATGACAATCTCAGTTTCTACTTTTCCATGATGCGGAAGAAAAAAGTCATCTACGCCCAAAACCTAAGGATGACTCAAGCAACGAACCACTAGAGAGCGGAAGATTTCAGCTTCCAAATCCATGTTAAATTGGAGTATCAACTGTAGGGTCAACATATCATACAATATGGTGATCAATCAAAAATTATGCCTTGGGGTTTCAGGCTCCAGAAGCCCGACCGACGCGAGAGTACCCAAAGCGAACCACCTCAATAAATCGAAATGGGCTAAATATCACCCTAAATAGAGTTCCGATCAATGAAAAAGGGCCTACTGGTCCGACATAGGCATATTTTACTTATTCGGAGCTCATTAATTGGTTCAAGTCTAGCGGATGCAATAAAAGGCTCAGAAATACTAAAACGTTCGTATGGCAGTTTAACACATAGGAGGATCGATTATAGTTTGGGGTTAAATGACCAGTTCTCGGCGTAGTTACCTGGTCACTATCGATGAAATCATGACCAGGAAGGTGTTGTCGATCATTCCAAACGATAATTTGAAATCATTTAACAAAAACCTGGCCTAGGAACAAATTTCATATTCCAAAAATTTGGTGTCCCCAAACATGTAGCAAAATTAACGATGCAAGTTTTTGGAGACCGAAAAGGTTAAGATTCTTTCGTTGGCTGCACAGTCTCCTGATGTGATTCTGATTGTCCGGGTTAAGAAAAGAGAGACCGATGGGAAACCACTAGTCGAAAAACGAGCTTGTCAAAAGTTTAAAAGAACTGTGGGCAGCCATATAAAAAATCGTTATATAGGAACTTGTCGAATAAATTCCACGACCTATTTCTGCTCTTATTGGGTCGAGGGGAGGTGCCACGCAATACTAGAAGCACTTTGTCGCACTTATCCCCAGTTTCGCACCCTTATGATACCACACCTTCCTCACGAGTATATGAAAAAGGACATCTATCTTATCAGGTGGTTAAGGGATCGGAATTTTGACGTTGCCGCTGCAGAGAAACGTTTATTAGCGGTAAGAAGATATCAGTACATACACTCTAAGTAATTTGAAGACAAATCTCAGCCCGAGGGGTGTACTTGACATGTACACTACTTCTTTTCGGTAATGATTATACAGGTTTTTTTTTCAATTAAAGGAAAATTAATCAAAACTTTTTGTACGAAACAAAGGTGATGTTGTTATTCTAAAAAGATGATCAATTTTACTAGCTGAATATACTATTTTTTATATGAAAATGGCGATTTTTCGTACGAAACTGGCAATTTTTTAAAATAATGACGTCACATCTGTTTCGTCCACGAGTTTTTGACTTGCACCCAGTTCCGTAATTTAGTTGTTACCTAAAAGTATTAACGTTGTCCGAGGGTGACTATCCGCAAATTATTTAGAGTGCATCTGTACATAAAACCACAAATCCTTGCATTCAAAAATCTTTTTTATTAAGCATATCCGATGGCGTTCCGAAAACCAGATCGATTCCATCCTATCCGAAGATTGGGACGATTTTGATCGCGAATACAGAATTTATATCGAAGGGTGTGACAAGGACGGAAAACCTGGTAATTTTCCCGAATACTCGGGGGTAATATGTATGAAGTATAAAATTATAGCTTAATTTTCCCCAGTAATTACAATGTTTCCCGGAGACTGGGACATAAGACGGGTGGCCCTATCCGGGAAAACTAAACTGTTTCTGCGCTACCTTGTAAAACTTTTTGAAGAGGCGTTAGTCACTGTGAGGGCGATGCAGGAAAGTGGACAAAATGTTACCCAAGCAACCATAATTTGTGACCTGGCTGAGTTCAACGTCATCACGAATGGATGTCCAAGTTGTAAGAAATTTTGTACTGATTAACCTAAAACTAGAATATTTTAATATTCAGGCTAAAATATTTTTCAAGATTTCATGCCGTGTTTAACTACTCAAAATACTTTAATTCATCCTAAATTAATATGACGTTAAAAAACTGAAACGTTGCAAACCGTAATCTGAAAATTGTGCATTTTAACTTTTTTTTTAATTTTGAAAACTTCTGTATATTGATTTTGAACGAAATGTATTACACTCTTAATAGTGCTGTTACCCTTTTGAAAAAGTGAATGTACCAATTTACCAAATATAGAACTATATTTGGTAAACTATATGTACGTCAACTTTACTCTTTATCAAACTAACGATACTCTGGGTTTGGTATAATTTACTGAATATAAAATTCAAAGTGCATTTATTTCTCAAAAGAGTAGCATTATTTTTAAAAGTGTAACGTGTACTAAACTATTTTCCAGGTATCGCAATCTACATCCAACTAGCGACAATATACGAAAATAATTATCCCGGCCTGGCGCATCGGCTTATTGGAATAAATGGTATAAATAATAGATACTAATTCCGAGACGAGAGGCATAAATTGCTCAACATTTTACTGACAAACTCTGCAAATTCATGTTTAATACTGTTGCTTTTATGGATTTTTAATATTTAATTTCAGTCCCTCAGGTTGCCCTAACTCTCTGGGACTTACTTAAGCACTTCCTCAACCCGCAGACCACGGAGGTGTTACACGTTTACAGTAGAGATAGGCGGTCCTGGGAGCGCGCCCTTTTCAATGAAATCGATCGAGACCAGTTACCCACAAAATTTGGCGGACATAAAACCAACGATTCTCTGGACCTTGTCGAGTATCGCGGGCTGAATAAAGTTTTCGCTTGTACTTAACCGCATTCCGAGCGCTTGTGTTACACCTCTAAAAATTAGATAATCTGTATGTATAATAATAACTTCGTAATACTAAACGGGCAAACTATGTAAATAGGATTAATATTTTAGCAATATTTAATTTGTGCAAACTGTCGGTATACGTGAAGAATTCATTCGTCTGATTATTTTATATGCATTAAATACTAACACCATGAATGTGATTGATGTGCCGTGTATGAAACTGATTAATTAGGGTTGAAAATTATAATTATTAATTATGCACATAGGTACGTATGCACAGGGTGGTTTAAATGTCAGGTTACAATTGAAAGTTTTTCAATTAAAAGAATTCGTAAATTTCTATTAGCTACGGATTTGGGATTGAGATTTTTATTAATTTTTGATCAAAACTTATGGAACACTGATGACAGAATTTCTAAAATATTGAATTTCAGAGGCAAAATTTCGGTAACTAATGGAGATTTGCGAGTTTTTCCCATTTAAAAATTTTCCATTGGAACCTGACATTTAAACCACCCTGTATGTATGTAAGAATGACCACCGCATGTATGTAAATATGTAGGCCACATTTAATTGAAACTTTGAGATGGGATGCTCCTAATCTTTAAATATACATAATTTGAAATCACATCAATCATGTAGAAGTATGCAAATATGATAACTAATTTTAAGAACACGACAATACAAATTTATTGACCTGCGAATAAAGAACAACAAACAAACAAAAAGGATTAAACAGATGCGGATCCGCCGGTTTGGCCGATCTTGGGTATCCTTTCCGTGGGGATGGAGCTCTAACCGCTGTTTCCCTCCACTTGATTACAACGTTTTTAAGTTTAAGTACAGTAGAAACGTACTTTCGACCGACGATAAATCCATTTGCAGCAAGTTTTCTAACAATCGCTCTCTGGCTCAATCTGTCTTTGGAAAACACTTTTATGAGTGCGTCGCAGTTTGGGGGGTGCTGTAGGGGCATTTTTAACCACAGGGAAAATGTAAGTAGTTCAAAATTTTCGTAAACTATTTAGGTATAACATATGCAAATTTTGAAAATTCCGCGACTGTGCATCACACACCACCCCAAAAATTAAAGTGGCTCCTTCTTCTTGCCCAGCCCTCTGTACAGTTTTTCTGACTGGAGATCTACAGTGGTATCATATATTGATATATCAATAATATGATACCAATGTAGATCTCCAGTCAAAAAAATTGTACAGAGGGTTGGGCTATTATTGATATATCAATATATGCAACACCACATATTTTTTGCAGTGTACACATGTAATCATTATACACTCACTATGCACATACATATATACACTGTATCAAATCTGAACAAATTTTATACAGAAGTATGTCTATGTACATACATACATTTCAATAAGTTCCCGACAACCTTGTGGTGAGATAATGAGCCAAAAATTCTCAGGGAAGCTACATAACTATGTATGTAAATAAGTAAGGGTACATATGTACTACATCATAGTGATATCTTTGTGCAACTTATTCTCTTTAAAGGGGTGAAACCCTGTTATAAGATCGTCATATCCGTCCGTCCGTTTGTCGGTTGGTTTGACAACTCGTGAACGAAGGCAATTGAATTAAACTTACAACACGTTCGAGTTAGAAGATGAACACGGTAAAGTATGTACAGTATGTCACTTTATTGTAGATGTTGAGACACGACAAGTCACCTACTAACCGTAAGGCTCCGTCTCCTAATATTATGACCTTGGGTTATTATTGCCACTAATCCTGAACGTGCCCTGACTCATTGAACTCTAACGTCACAAAGAATACCGGACAAACAAAACCGTGGACTTTACTTTAACCACTTCGGATAATCTATCTAATCAATGAATATGAGTAGCAGCAGCAATATTACGAGTTTGTATAAGTTTATTGTAAATCCCAATCAATTAACTTAATTTACACGTTACTATCTGCTCCTAAAAAACACGACTTCTTTCTCTCTTTGACAAAACTCTACTCCCCCGCTGGCTTTTAAATTACCCCGAACAAATCTCACATTCTCACATTATACATATGAAATCCAACATCACTCCCACCTTCATTAACCAATGAATCAATAAATAAATGATAAACAATAATTAATCATATCCTATAACTGTAACGACAAATGTGAGATCCATTGTCCAAATCTTGAGACTTTTCTGGCGATCCTTCCTCCTCTTGTTTTTACATCGGCTGGATTGTCTCGCATAAGTCCCATGTCATCCTCTTCTTCTTGAACTGCTTTCCTCTCCTTATGAATTTGAATGTCAAGTTCCTTGACTTTCTCCGGTACTGGCAAATCTTGTCTCGTCGCGATTTCCAGGGGATAGAGTCGTTGTAGTGGTCTTGTGAGTATGCGACCTTTCTTCACCGTCTTCAGGTTGAACGATCTACTACTCTTCTTGTCCAGTCCGTAATCGTGCGGAGTCTGAATCTTCGCCACCCTTATTTTTCCATCTCGTCCAGGTATTAATTCTATTACTCGTCCCATTGGCCACTGAAACCTCTTCATGTTATCGGCTCCAATCAATACGATGTCACCCACTTGAATTGGATGACAGCCCTTTTCCTTTCCCTTTTGTACTAATTGTGCTAAGTACTCCGTCCTGAATCGACCCTGTAACTTCTTCTGGATTACTTGCATCCTTTTGTAAGCACCTTGCAACTCATCAGCCCCAATAATTCCACCCTCGGGAAAGTGAGAACTTCTTGATGGATGCAGGAACATCGCAGGGGTCAGAGGAATAAGATCATCCTCGTCTTCCGTAATCGCAGTCAGTGGCCGGTCATTGATCGTGGCCTGTACTGTTGACAAACTGGTTCTTAACTCATCATAGGTTAGCCTTGCATTTCCCAAAATTCGACGCAATTGATTCTTCACGCTTCGAACAAGGCGCTCCCACCATCCACCCCACCACGGTGCTGAAGGTGGATTGAATGTCCATCGGATATTCTGTACGTTCATTTGCTCGACAACTTTCTCCCAATCCAACGCCCTCATGAGATTGACAACGCCAACGAAGTTTGTTCCGTTGTCGCTGTAGAAGGATCTTGGTCTACCATACTGATTGATGAATCTCTCCAAACTGCCAAGAAACACTTCTGCGCTGGTTGAAGTCACAACATCAAAATGAACGCATCGATACACTGCACAGGTATAGAGTACTACCCATGCCTTTGTCTTGTCTTTCAATTGCAGCGGTCCTGCGAGATCAACCCCTGTGGTCTCAAAAACTTCTGCCGTATTCACTCTTGCTTTGGGGAGAGGCGCCGGCTGCACGTTCACTGGTCTTGCATCAAATCGGCGACATCTTGGACATTGGTGTAGAATCGTCTTCACTGTCCGTCGGCCACCCAAAATCCAATACTTTTCACGTAGTTTGCATAACAGAAACTGGGCTCCCGCATGACCATAAACACGATGCAATTCTGTTATCATCATATTCGTCAGCGGATGCTTTGGTAAGATGACTGGCCACTTGAAACTCTGTGTGTCTTCTTTGTCGAGAAGTCTGGTTTCCACACAAAACAGTCCATCACGCTTAACCATCGATAACTTCTTGGCGAGGTTGACATCGCTCGTATCCAACGCCTCGTCTTGAATCACTTTTAGAATACACTTCTCTGCATTCTTCACTTCTATTGCGCTGAGTTGACCATTTTCATTTTGTACAACGCCAGGCACGACTTTGCAATTATTGATGAATCTCAATATCCACGCCATTACTCGCACGTTCTTCTTGTAGGTGGAGAATTTTGTCTGGAACCATTGAGCTTCATTGCTTGATTGGAGTGTCATCTTCGACTTTACCAATTCGCTGGTATATTCGTCCTCATCAACTTCACCTTGATTTGATGGCCACTCTCCTTCCGGTTGCTTCAGCCATGGTGGTCCTTCCCACCACAATGACTCTAACAATTGTTGTGGAGTACATCCCCTTGACGGAAGATCTGCTGGATTTAGATTTCCTGGAACATGCCTCCAATCTTCAACTCTGGTTTTCTCACGAATCTCCTTGACACGATTTCCCACGAATCTGCTTAATTGTGCGTCTCTCTGGATCCATGCCAATGCAGTCGTGGAATCTGTCCATTGAATCACTCTATCAATTTTCACATCCATTGAGCTCTTCACTAATTCCAGTAGTCTTGCTCCGATAAGGCATCCAACCAATTCTAGGCGTGGAATCGTACCTCCTTTCACTGGTGCAACTCTGGATTTTGCTTGAATAAGAGTCACTTTTACCTTATCATTCTTGAATGATCGTGCATAAACTACTGCGGCGAATGCATATCTGCTTGCATCGGTGAATAGATGCAATTGGAGAGAATCTGGTGAACTAATCATCATAAGTCGTGGAATTCTAATCTCCCTTAGCACATGAGCTTGATTAATCCACGCCGTGAATCTTGATGCTGTCTTCTCCTCCAATTCTTCATCCCACTTGACTCCACTTTTCCACGAATCTTGTAGCAAAAGTTTTGGTTGTAGAGTAGCAGGGCAAGTAAATCCAATGGGGTCAAATACTTGATGTAACTTGGACAAGATTTTCCTCTTCGTCACAGGTCCATCCAAAATAATTGGGTCATATAGTATGGATATCGTATCATGTTGCTTATCCCACGTCAACCCTAACACTGAGGTCACTGTCTTTCCATTCTTGACCTCGTCAAACTTGTTCATCGTAGACTCCCATTCTCTTAATTCCATCTTGGCTTCTTGCATCATACTGGTCGAGATTCTTTTGAATTCTTCCATTTCTTGAATCGTTTCCACGGAGGTAATGCTGTTGTCGACGTAGAGCGATCGCAACAACTTCTGCGCCACTTTCTTCTGGTAACCTTTATACTTTGACAAGTGAAGTTCCAAAACGCCTCCTAGAAGAAATGGGCTGGTGGTGACTCCAAATACTGCACGTGCATGTTGATAGACTTTGATCTTGCTGCTGCTGGAATCCTCCCACCACAGAAACTTCTGATAGTTTCTGTCTTCATCATTAATTCCAATCATTTAGAAAGCTTTTCGTATGTCCGAAATCACCCCAATTCTCCTCTGCCTAAATCGATGTAGCACGGAAGGAATTAGTTCGATGAGATTCGGCCCCTTGTATAGACAATCATTTAGAGATGGCTTTCCGGCACCTTTGCAACTTGCGTCAAAAACTGGGCGCACTGGCGTGGTGGTACTCTCTGGCTTGAATACAGGATGGTGAGGTAAGTAATGACCAGTGGGGGGCGACGTCTCCTGCACTGCCTCAATAATTCCTTCTTCCTCCCACCCTCGGAAAATGCCATCATACACTTCATACATTTCCTTATCCATTAATTTCTTAGTGGTAGACATCAGTCGTTTCTCGGCCACCACTCGATTTGTTGGTAGGTCACGCTCTGGTTCTCCATTCACCCATGGTAGGCTGGCAGAATAATGACCTCGATCATCTTTTGTTACATTTTCTAAGAAGTGTTGTCTTGCAGCTTCTTCTTGTTCTTTCTTGGTCTGCACTTGAACTGGATCTAGAATTCCCAATGTTTCAAGTGACCACATATCTTGAATTGAGCGTTCTTGACTTGATTAGAGCGCAATTGTTAGGTTTGATGCCAAATTCTTGGGGGCAGGAATTGGACCACTCAACACCCATCCAAATATCGTCTCTTCAGCAATCAGGTTTGCTCCCAACTCTACTTTCTTCCCTGTGCACAATTCTGCTCGCAGGTCAGATCCGACGAGAATTTCTATGTCGGCTTCATCTACGTGGCTGTTTTGACAATCCGACAGAAATATCTTGCTATTTCTGAGGCGATCTGTCCATGGGCCCTTAGGAACTCTCGGAATGGACGTGCAGATGATTGGTTTCTCTCTCAACGTCCACTTCTTCTTTCTTTTCCCATCCAGGCTTTCAATCTTGACTTCATGAATCTTCTCGGCGTGCATATCTGTTACAAATCCACCAAGAAGTAAATTTCGGACGTATTCAACTCCGATCGACTTGTTTCCAATGGCTTGAATGGTTCTTGATCCAATATAGCTCATTTGACTTCCTTCATCGATGAGAAGACGGACAACGGATGTACCAACAGGTCCAACGGCTCTAACTACCACGACCTTTAGTAGCACATCTGCATTCTGGCTGAAATTGGTGAGATGTGTCACTGTATTTACTTGTTGACGTACATCTTGTCCCCTAACGTCACCTTCATCCCGTCTCGCTTCACACATAATACTTTGATGTTTTCTTCCGCAGTTTTGGCATTGCACCGCGACCCTGCAGGTTTTAGAAATATGGCCGGGGTTCAGACAGATGTAGCAAACCCTCTTCTCCCGTACCTTTTCTCTCTTCACATCAATCGTCATGTTTCTTGCTCGTCTACAATCTTGACTATTGTGGCTGGTCATGTCGCAAAAAATACATTGCATTTTTGCTGCTGTCAATCCAGCCGAGGTGGGGATGTCCTCCTCGCCACTGAACTTCTTTTGATGTAGATGCAAGTTCTTCTTTTCTTTCAAATTGATCGTGTCTTGCATGAAGCCATCTCGTGCAAGTGATCTCTGTTCTTCATTCTCCACCTCTTGCCGCAGAAACTCCATAAGGTAATCGAGTTCTGATTTCGGTGGATTCTCTGCTGCACCGTCTCTTCGGTAAAAACTGCTTCTTTGCCAAGCCAGGAGGATGTCTTCTTGTAAACTAGACTCCACCATCGGAAACAAAAAAGTGTGTTCTCTGGTCACACCCAATGAGTCCAAAGCTTGCAAATGCGAATCCAGACTGTCGTATAACTTTGATAACGACATCTTCTCTTTTGACTTTGCGTTCCATGTCATCTTCAATAATTCTCTGACGTAGAATTGAGTCAACAACTTCGTATTCCCAAACCGCTGCTGGAGAGCTGCCACAGCTTTTGGGTAGTTTTCTGCTGTCTGAGGATACTTCGTCACTAAATCATGAGCACGAGTTCCATTGACCATAGATTGCACGAGATACTGAAGTTTATCACTGTCGTGTAGCTCCTCATCCTCGTGAATTTTCTTAAATTGAGACCAAAATCCTAGCCATTCTTTGATTTCTCCATTAAATTTTCTTATTTGGATCTTCGGCAATTTGTAGGATTTCTTCTTTTGGCCATCCGAATACACTGATGCGTAGCTTCTGGTTGGGCTGCCTTGTGTAGAAGGAACACGCGTCATAACTTCTCCAATGCGACATTTTGCTCTAGTCGCCCGGTTTTGATATTGTTCAATTGTATCCTTTTCCGCCGCGTATTCATCTTCAGTACAATCTGCATCCAATAGCAATCCCAACATCTTCTGATCAAGGTCGTCGACTTCTGTTAGATGCTTCTCCAGGCGGCTGAACATAACTTGGAGGTCTATCAGGCCGGGTGTGGTCTTCGCCAGTTCAGCATCAACTTCATTGGCTATTCTCGTTATTGATGCTCTCACTGGTGTCCTGACTTTCCTTAGGCGGTCCATTGCGCGAATCTCAGGAACAACAGACCCAAACAAAACAAACAATTAGTAAAGGAACCGGACAGAATTTTACTGAACGATCTCCACCTCAAATGCTCCTGAAGGCTCAGGATATGGCCCTCAAAGAGGAAATACAACAATTATTATCCAAATGTGGTTCCAATTGGCTCGGCTTCCTTCCTCACAGTTCGGCAGGCTCGTTCTCCTCCTCCCTGATTTGTTGGACAGGAATAATTGAAAGATTTCACCTGAATCACCCCCGAATACTCAGGGTCGGGTCCTCGAAGAGGCAAAGTGAACGATGATTCCTTCCTATGTCTTCAGGTGGCACTTGGTCGTCCTCCTCTCCCTCACCAGGTCACCGTGATCTCGCTGGGTACAAGGGCCGGTCGTTCCACTACACGCCTTTCCGTCAGCAACTTCTCTTCAACCTTAACCCATAGGTCTTACTCGGGGCACCAAAATGTTGAGACACGACAAGTCACCTACTAACCGTAAGGCTCCGTCTCCTAATATTATGACCTTGGGTTATTATTGCCACTAATCCTGAACGTGCCCTGACTCATTGAACTCTAACGTCACAAAGAATACCGGACGAACAAAACCGTGGACTTTACTTTAACCACTTCGGATAATCTATCTAATCAATGAATATGAGTAGCAGCAGCAATATTACGAGTTTGTATAAGTTTATTGTAAATCCCAATCAATTAACTTAATTTACACGTTACTATCTGTTCTCCTAAAAAACACGACTTCTTTCTCTCTTTGACAAAACTCTACTCCCCCGCTGGCTTTTAAATTACCCCGAACAAATCTCACATTCTCACATTATACATATGAAATCCAACAGTGGATGCAAGGCATCCATGCTTTATATAAATCACAAATACTTGACAACGGGTTAATATTTCAAACTAGTTTTTAGACCAATTATTAGAAATATTTCATACTACATTCGTGCAAAATTTCAAATGAATTGGGCTAAAACTGATGAAATTATAGATATTTAAATCTCAAAAAGTTGCAAATTGCATGCCACAAAATTGTAGATGCAGCTGAATAGCTCATTCAATATGTAGCTGGCGTACTTTTGGCGTCAATACCGGCTTGAATTCGTCTTAACCATGAATCTACCAATCTATCAGTGACACTTTGGTCGATCTTACACCACTCTTTTGTGACTATGGTTTTCGGAGAAGCTGCATTTGTCGGTTTCCGTTCTGACGATGGACGCTTCAGGGTTCCCCATAAATGCTAGATCGGATTGAGGCCAGGGGATTGAAAACCCCAACCTAACACCTTTATTCCACTACCCTTGAAGCATTTTGAGCAGATTTTTTAAATATTTATATAATATTCGCCATGTTGGTAGAAAAATCTCTGACCAAAGTCCGCTTTTGTTTCAAATCAACAAAGATTTATTTTTATCAAATCAAGATTAGCCTCGTTTGCCATGATGTCAACGACGCATTTCAATGCTACTATCCCGTTCTAACGGAAACTGCCTCAAACTATTGCATTTCGGCAAGAATTCGAAAGTTTCACACCACATACTAAGTGTGACCACAGCCAAGATTTCTTTGACACCTCTATTTTTAACAATTATCCCCAGAAATCAATTCTTCACACTTTCGATTTGCTTCCACCACACTCTGGTCACTTCATTTTAAAAGATGTCACTTTTGATCTCGTCCATACCTGGTCAATAATGATACAAGTCAGTTGGGTAACTCTGAAAATACTATCAATACATATGACCGAAATCATTTGAGTCCTCAGATGTAGATATGTGTGATGTTGTTCTACATAAGTTAAAAAAGGACATGTACAGTATGTCACTTTATTGTAGATGCAAGGCATACATGCTTTATATAAATCACAAATACTCCACAACGGGTTAATATTTCAAACTAGTTCTCTGACCAATTATTAACAATATTGTATACTACATTCGTGCAAAATTTCAAATGAATTGGGCTACAACTGATAAAATTATAGATATTTAAATGTCAAAAAGTTGCAAATTGCACGCCACAAAATTGTAGATGCAGCTTAAGTTTGAGTTTAATTACGATAACGACCCACTATTTCAGGCTACATACAAATTTTGTTCGGGAATGTTTATTTTGGGTAAGAACAGTTGTTTATATTGTCAATAGAAAATATTTTGTAGAAATTTTATTCCAAAATGGTACGTAACAACGAGGTCAATCTAGAATTTCGGGCGGAAAATGGCGTGAGTTATAAAAAAGGGCTCAGTTGTGGAAAAATTTTCGGAGAACATGAAATTTCACAAAATATTGTCCAAAAAAAGGAAATGGATCGAAACTCTTTTGAACCATCACGATCGGGGTCAAAAACGCAGTACATCACCATGTGATCACACGAAAATTATAAGAACGGTGAGGATGGTCCTCCTCTGTTCACCCCAAATATTGCGAGAAGTGTTCAAAGTGACCTTTGCACTGATGTCCACCTATAATCGATTATAACCAGGCAGATATTCGCTGAATTATCGGGAGATTTGTCAAAATAAACACGATAGATTTGAATAACAAGCCCCAAGTAATCCTTAGATTTGGGAAGGCAGAACTCAGGATGTCCGGTTGTGACAGGAAAAAATTTTTCTTCCTGGATGAGACCGAAAATCAGCTCTCTGGTTCAAATGAAGTGACCAGAGTGTGGTGGAAGCAAATCGAAAGTGTGAAGAATTGATTTCTGGGGATAATTGTTAAAAATAGAGGTGTCAAAGAAATCTTGGCTGTGGTCACACTTAGTATGTGGTGTGAAACTTTCGAATTCTTGCCGAAATGCAATAGTTTGAGGCAGTTTCCGTTAGAACGGGATAGTAGCATTGAAATGCGTCGTTGACATCATGGCAAACGAGGCTAATCTTGATTTGATAAAAATAAATCTTTGTTGATTTGAAACAAAAGCGGACTTTGGTCAGAGATTTTTCTACCAACATGGCGAATATTATATAAATATTTAAAAAATCTGCTCAAAATGCTTCAAGGGTAGTGGAATAAAGGTGTTAGGTTGGGGTTTTCAATCCCCTGGCCTCAATCCGATCTAGCATTTATGGGGAACCCTGAAGCGTCCATCGTCAGAACGGAAACCGACAAATGCAGCTTCTCCGAAAACCATAGTCACAAAAGAGTGGTGTAAGATCGACCAAAGTGTCACTGATAGATTGGTAGATTCATGGTTAAGACGAATTCAAGCCGGTATTGACGCCAAAAGTACGCCAGCTACATATTGAACGAGCTATTCAGCTGCATCTACAATTTTGTGGCGTGCAATTTGCAACTTTTTGACATTTAAATATCTATAATTTTATCAGTTGTAGCCCAATTCATTTGAAATTTTGCACGAATGTAGTATACAATATTGTTAATAATTGGTCAGAGAACTAGTTTGAAATATTAACCCGTTGTGGAGTATTTGTGATTTATATAAAGCATGTATGCCTTGCATCTACAATAAAGTGACATACTGTACATGTCCTTTTTTAACTTATGTAGAACAACATCACACATATCTACATCTGAGGACTCAAATGATTTCGGTCATATGTATTGATAGTATTTTCAGAGTTACCCAACTGACTTGTATCATTATTGACCAGGTATGGACGAGATCAAAAGTGACATCTTTTAAAAGGATTAGTTGTGTAAATTTTAACAAGTTTTCGACGTCAATAACAATATGGAGTTCATTTTCGACACTCTGGTTTCAAACCTTGGTTGCATTCGTTGGAACGATCTATTCATCTTTTGCCCTTTCCTTAATAATCTACAGTCCTTGCACACCCCAAAGCAATCTTAAGGACAGCGGTTTAAAAATAATTTGTGCAAGGATGTGCATGTAATAATTTATTCCAGACGAATAGTGCATCGTGCAAAGTTTGCAGCTCGTTAATCACAGACAGTAATTATCCTTTGGTTAAAAACTTAAACTTTTCTTCGGAAATGTTTTACAAATTAAATTTGTTTCTTTTACTGTTAATCTTTACAATGCATTTAAAATTGATCGGTTCTCTTTCCGTGGATGATTTTTTGACTTTGACATCCTCTCAAAAAGATAAATTGGACGAAGTAAGGGATACATACACATTTCATTGAAATCGTAAAATTAAGCAGTGAAACAATTAACTTTTTTACAAACATTTCTTAGCAAAATCAGCTTACTAATTTTTGCAAGTTTACCCAAATCAATGGCGTTTATTTATTTTAGAAAAGTTGGTATATTTATTAAGTAGCTTCAGCTACTTTATGTGAAGACTTTGTCTGTCTGTCTGTCTGTCTGTCTGTCTGTCCGTCTGTCTGCAGGATAACGGGAGAACGGATAAAGATAATCGAAATCGGTTTTCGCCATCATACATAATACCCCAGGGGGAGGATCCTATCAACTTTTGGGTGCAACCGGACCACACCCCCGGTCGCCAGGGGTTGTGGTCGGGGCAAAATGAGATTTTTAGTGCAATTGAATCTATGGATGAAATGGAGTGAAATTTTGAGTTCCCCCGTTGTGCCACACCCCCGGGCGCCAGGGGGTGTGGTCGGGGCAAAATGAGATTTTTGAAAAAATTGAATGCATAGATGAAATACAGTAGAATAAAGTGCTCCCGAGTTGTGTCACACCCCCTCGTCACTAGGGGGTGTGGTCGGGGCAAAATGAGATTTTTGAAAAAATTGAATGCATAGATGAAATACAGTAGAATAAAGTGCTCCCGAGTTGTGTCACACCCCCTCGTCACTAGGGGGTGTGGTCGGGGCAAAATGAGATTTTTGAAAAAATTGAATGTATATTGAATGAAAGACAGTAAAATCAAGTGTTCCCGCGATGTCGTGGGAGTGCTTGGAGTGAAGTAGTCTGAAGCTACTTCCGTATGCGCGTTTGCGACGGTTTATTTTACAACAGAGTTAGATTTTACAAAGTTACCAAAAACTGCGTGAATTGCCTCGATACATTTATCGGCATGGCTTGATTACTTTTCT